GTAGTGCAGTTTATTTAGTCATAATTAACAACCACACAAGCCGACCTGTTTGGGAGCTATTACGCGTTGTATTATCAGGGCATAGGCAACAATTGCCGCATGCAGTATGCAATACTATGGACCAATGCCGTAGTATCGCAGGCAACAATTGCCGCATGCAGTATGCAATACTATGGACCAATGCCGTAGTATCGCAGGCAACAATTGCCGCATGCAGTATGCAATACTATGGACCAATGCCGTAGTATCGCAAGCACCAATGTGCGTTAGACTGGCCAATGCCAGGGCTAATGGGGGCAACAATTGCCCGGCGTGTCAATACACGCATACGGTAGGGATGCACTTGTGAGCACATGTAGGCGCACTTGGCTCAATGCCGGCCTGACCCACGATCCCTACCGTTCTCCCTTCCGGGATGGCTTAGAATAGAATGATGGTTAGAGATGATGGGGTGGGTGGTGGTGCTCAAAAACTGGCCAAGGTTGTCAAGCGATCTGACTGTTGGCGCAGCAAGGATGAAGAAGAAGCAGCATCGAGAGCCGGAGTAATGCGCATGCTCCGCGTGGTCCCGTGCCGGGGCGCGGGAGTTCGGAGTGCGTGTTCTGCACGGGCACGTGATGCGCTATGGCAAGTACGTGCAAATTATGTTAGGAATGTAATTGTTGGTGGGTTGCTAACTTCACTTACCGTGCCATGCACGGAAACTTATATTTAACAACCACACAAGCCGATCTGTTTGGGAGCTATTACGCGTTGTATTATCAGGGCATAGGCAACAATTGCCGCATGCAGTATGCAATACTATGGACCAATGCCGTAGTATCGCAGGCAACAATTGCCGCATGCAGTATGCAATACTATGGACCAATGCCGTAGTATCGCAGGCAACAATTGCCGCATGCAGTATGCAATACTATGGACCAATGCCGTAGTATCGCAAGCACCAATGTGCGTTAGACTGGCCAATGCCAGGGCTAATGGGGGCAACAATTGCCCGGCGTGTCAATACACGCATACGGTAGGGATGCACTTGTGAGCACATGTAGGCGCACTTGGCTCAATGCCGGCCTGACCCACGATCCCTACCGTTCTCCCAAAATACAACATGACCCAAACAGGAATTATCGGCATTACTATAGTTATAGTAGCGTTACTATAGTTATAGTATAATAGGTATATCATATGTACACTACAGCTGTTGCTAGGGCCGTCCAATGCGGCTACCCATTAGCATAACGGGCAGAGACTAGAACAATGCCGCTGGCAATGCTCTGTCTGCGACAGGGGTGCGGACATAGCGGAGGTAGGCAGAGCTTTGCCACCTGCCGGCGGTCTTCAGCACGTACTCAGGCACGCCAGCTTTGCCTGCCAGCGTTGCAGCGCCTCGTCTGAGGCTGTGGCTGCGCACGTCTTTGTTAGGCAAGGCTGTTTGTAGTAGCCTGTTGATGTTATGCGGCTTCAGGGGCGTGCCGTCATCATAGCGATAGAGCGGGCCAGGTGCCGAGCCACGGGCTGCTAGGTAGCTGGTGGCTGCCGTGTGCGGGCATGTCGGCGAGCCTGTCCTCCTGACGCTAATGTCCTGGCCGCTGCCGTATTGGCTCGTCTTTGTCACACGCAGGCGCAGCTCCACGCGGTCTGGGTACATGGTCGCATCGCTGTACTCAAGGCCGGCGCCCCGTGCCGTGAAGGTGTACTCGTTGACTCAGAGCAGCCCGTGGAAGGCCAGAGTCACGGCGCTCCAGAGCATGGCGCGGTTGTGCGGGCTAGGCACGGTGGACTGCAGGTAGTGCTGTACGCCAGCCAGATCGTCCAAAGTTGCGGCCCGCGTCGTCAACTGCTGAAGGGTGGACTGCGCTGGTTGTGTCGGCACTGCGTCGGCAGTTGGGCTGCGAGTCCAGAAGCGTCGACAACCTGACCCAAACAGGATTTATCTACATTACTATTACACTACAATTGATGTGAGTGCCGTCCAATGCGGCTGCCCATTAGCATAGTGGGCAATGCGCTCAACGTACCGGATATGGAACAATGCTGCTGGCACTGATCAGTCACTGGGTATGGCTTGCCCTAGTGCGGGGTGACAAGCGTTCGGAGCGCTGCAGCGAAGCGTATGTTGTGCTGGAGCTGCCCGCCAGGCCCTGGCGGATGAGGTCCATGGTTGCGTCATCAACTGCTGAAGGGTGAACTGCGCTGGTTGTGCCGGCACCGCTTCGGCAGTTGGGCTGCAAGTCCAGACGCGCTGACAACCGGACCCAGACAGGATTTATCTGCATTACTATTACACTGCAATTTATGTGAGTGCCGTCCAATGCGGCTGCCCATTAGCATAGTGGGCGATGTGCTCGAAGTACAGGATCTGGAACAATGCTGCCGGCACTGATCAGTCCCTGAGGTTGGCTTGCCCTGGCGCAGGGCGACAAGCGTTCGGAGTGCTGCGGCGAAGCGCATGCCATGCTGGAGCTGTCCGCCAGGCCTTGGCGGATGAGGTCCATGGTTGCGTCGTCAACTGCTGGAGGGTGGACTGCGCTGGTTGTGTCTGCACCACTTCGGCAGTTGGGATGCGAGTCCGGCAGCGCTGACAACCTGACCCAAACAGGATTTATCTGCATTACTATTACACTGCATTTGATGTGAGTGCTGTCCAATGCGGCTAGCCATTAGCACAGTGGGCAATGCACTCAAAGTACAGGATCTGGAACAATGCTGCCGGCACTGATCAGTCCCTGAGTGTGGCTTTCCCTGGCGCAGGGCGACAAGTGTTCGGAGCGCGGCAGCGAAGCGCATGTTATGCTGGAACTGGCCGCCAGGCCCTGGCGGATGAGGTCCATGGTTGCGTCGTCAACTGCTGGAGGGTGGACTGTGCAGGGTGTGTCAGCACTGCGTCGGTAGATGGGCTGAGAGTCCGGAAGCGCTGTACTCGAAGACGAGTAAGAGACTTAGCAGGATCATTGCAGAGTCGCCGTTGGGCTGAGAGTCCACATCAGCCGGTCTGTTGAACGGAAGGGGGAGGATCTAAGGCCAAATGGTGGTGCCTTATCTACATGGTACGAACCTTCCAAAAAATGCCAAGCCGGGGCCAGACATGAGGGGAAACAGACCAAAGCCGCCAGGCATACTTCGTGTCAGCTTTAGAGAGGAGAGCTCAGCATCAGGGACCTAAATTTCCGAGCCATCTTCAAGATTATGGGCTGGTGCGAAAACAGCTCCGGGGGCCCTGGAGGGGTGTGCTGCTGCGTCAGTCGCACAATACGTGCTCCAAGCATCGCGAACCTCCTCCCGACTACAGTCTCCCAGGCCAGGGATGGGGCTGCAGTTGCCTCGGCTAGGTTCTGCTCCGCTGCCGGAGCGGCCAAGTCCTCGCGTACAGTAGTCTGGAGCCAACTTCAACTCGAGCAGGCGAGTCCGCGGAGTAGGTTTTGTTCCTGTCGGGTCTAAATAATTGCGGGATTCCAGTGCGTTTCGCAGCTCAGCAGAGTGCATTTTGACTGGACATCGCTCACTGACAGAGACATGGTTGATCGGATATTGATCAGAAACTGGCCGCGATTGTCAAACAATTTGACCGTCAAGGCAGCAAAGCAAAGAGCGTTATGGCTGGACATCGCTCACTGACAGAGACATGGTTGATCGGATATTGATCAGAAACTGGCCGCGATTGTCAAACAATTTGACCGTCACTGCGTCAGCGCAGCAAAGCAAACGGAGCGTTTTGGCTGGACATCGCTCACTGACAGAGACCTGGTTGATCGGATATTGATCAGAAACTGGCCGCGATAGTCAAACAATTTGACCGTCAGCACAGCAAAGCGAAGAGCAAGCTCAAAAACTGGCCAAGGTTGTCAAGCGATCTGACTGTTGGCGCAGCAAGGATGAAGAAGAAGCAGCATCGAGAGCCGGAGTAATGCGCATGCTCCGCGTGGTCCCGTGCCGGGGCGCGGGAGTTCGGAGTGCGTGTTCTGCACGGGCACGTGATGCGCTATGGCAAGTACGTGCAAATTATGTTAGGAATGTAATTGTTGGTGGGTTGCTAACTTCACTTACCGTGCCATGCACGGAAACTTATATTTATGCTAAAATGTACGGTCTACGTCAACCTGCAGCGGAGCGAGGTCGTGCTGGGGACCCTCCAGTATACTTACCAGCATCCGAGAACAAGAAGTCGGCATACAACATCTACACCAAGACCGTCACACAGTATTCGCCTGTTCATTACAGGTCATTTTGCCACATTTGGAGGAGACAGGCAGCACATATCAAAGTGATGAAGCCAAGGACAGACGTATGCGCATTGTGTCACAATTTGTGTAACAATCTGCGGTACAAAATTCGTGTCGCCCGTACAGAGGAAGAGACGGAATGTAGTGTCCAGGCGCTGCGTTCGCACACATCGCTAGCACAAGAGGAGCGGCAGTACTACCGAGATTTAGTGGACGGCGCGCAGGCGTCACTGGATGAAGCTGAGGGCATAGTTCACTATACATTTGAACTGCCTAACTAGCAAGAATGAAGATATACGGCTTCATGCACGTCTACTTCGACGTTCATGTACTTGTGCGCATGACGCGCGTGCATGATGCCATGCATGGTCTGCGTGCACTGGCGTCATGACCGCTCTCGCACTGTACAGTCATAATCGTTATCGATCATAACGATTATCGATTTCATCCATAACGAGTGATATACGAGTAATCGGTATAATCGTTTCGGCCCTAAAAAAGACCCACATTTTCTAAAGAACTCGCCCAGGGCTACTGAAAGCTGAAAAAGAACCTATCTAGAAGTTTGGGGCTTTTTACCCGTGAATCTTCACTTTGCGATTAAACTATTCACAGCAGTGCCACATTTTCTGAGTCACTGAATGCGGGTGCCAGCGCCCTACAAGCAAACCAAAAATCAAACCAATGCGACCACTGAAATTACAGCTGGGTCATGTTATAGAGAGGTACGTTGAAATTGAAAGGTCAGCACAAATGGTCAAAATCCGACATTTTCTCACCTTTCTGCCCGTTCGCAGCTCAGAAAATGACAATGACCATCCTCATCTCGTTGTGTAGCTGGACATAGAAAATAGCACCATGAAAAAGAGCCACATTTCTCTAAAGAACTCACCCAGGGCTGCTGAAAGCTGAAAAAGAACCTATCTAGAAGTTTGGGGCTTTTTACCCGTGAATCTTCGCTTTGCGACTAAACTATTCACAGCAGTGCCAAATTTTCTGGGTCACTGAATGCGGGTGCCAGCGCCCTACAAGCAAACCAAAAATCAAACCAATGCGACCACTGAAATTACAGCTGGGTCATGTTATAGAGAGGTACGTTGAAATTGAAAGGTCAGCACAAATGGTCAAAATCCGACATTTTCTCACCTTTCTGCCCGTTCGCAGCTCAGAAAATGACAATGACCATCCTCATCTCGTTGGTTAGCTGGACATAGACAAGAGCACCATGAAAAAGAGTCACATTTCTCTAAAGAACTCGCCCAGGGCTGCTGAAAGCTGGAAAAGAACCTATCTAGAAGTTTGGGGCTTTTTACCCGTGAATCTTCACTTTGCGACTAAACTATTCACAGCAGTGCCAACTTTTCTGGGTCACTGAATGCGGTTGCCAGCGCCCTACAAGCAAACCAAAAATGAAACCAATGTGACTACTGAAAATACAGCTGGGTCATGTTATAGAGAGGTACGTTGAAATTGAAAGGTCAGCACAAATGGTCAAAATCCGACATTTTCTCACCTTTCTGCCCGTTCGCAGCTCAGAAAATGGCAATGACCATCCTCATCTCGTTGTGTAGCTGGACATAGACAAGAGCACCAAGAAAAAGACCCACATTTCTCTAAAGAACTCGCCCAGGGCTGCTGAAAGCTGAAAAAGAACATATCTAGAAGTTTGGGGCTTTTTACCCGTGAATCTTCACTTTGCGACTAAACTATTCACAGCAGTGCCAAATTTTCTGGGTCACTGAATGCGGGTGCCAGCGCCCTACAAGCAAACCAAAAATGAAACCAATGCGACCACTTAAATTACAGCTGGGTCATGTTATAGAGAGGTACGTTGAAATTGAAAGGTCAGCACAAATGGTCAAAATCCGACATTTTCTCACCTTTCTGCCCGTTCGCAGCTCAGAAAATGACAATGACCATTCTCATCTCGTTGTATAGCGGGACATAGACAAGAGCACCAAGAAAAAGACCCACATTTCTCTAAAGAACTCGCCCAGGGCTGCTGAAAGCTGAAAAAGAACCTATCTAGAAGTTTGGGGCTTTTTACCTGTGAATCTTCACTTTGCGACTAAACTATTCACAGCAGTGCCAATTTTTTAGGGTCACTGATTGTGGGTGCCAGCGCCCTACAAGCAAACCAAATATGAAACCAATGCGACCGCTGACATTACAGCTGGGTCATGTTATAGAGAGGTACGTTAAAATTGGAAGGTCAGCACAAATGGTCAAAGTCAGACATTTTCTCACCTTTCTGCCCGTTCGCAGCTTAGAAAATGACAATGACCATCCTCATCTCGTTGGTTAGCTGGACATAGACAAGAGCACCATGAAAAAGAGTCACATTTCTCTAAAGAACTCACCCAGGGCTGCTGAAAGCTGAAAAAGAACCTATCTAGAAGTTTGGGGCTTTTTACCCGTGAATCTTCACTTTGCGAATAAAATATTCACAGCAGTGCCAAATTCTCTGGGTCACTGAATGCGGGTGCCAGCGCGCTACAAGCAAACCAAAAATGAAACCAATGAGACCACTGAAATTACAGCTGGGTCATGTTATAGAGAGGTACGTTGAAATTGAAAGGTCAGCACAAATGGTCAAAATCCGACATTTTCTCACCTTTCTGCCCGTTCAGCAGCTCTGAAAATGGCAATGACCATCCTCATCTTGTTGTGTAGCTGGACATAGAAAATAGCACCATGAAAAAGAGCCACATTTCTCTTAAGAACTCGCCCAGGGCTGCTGAAAGCTGAAAAAGAACCTATCTAGAAGTTTGGGGCTTTTTACCCGTGAATCTTCACTTTGCGACTAAACTATTCACAGCAGTGCCAAATTTTCTGGGTCACTGAATGCGGGTGCCAGCGCCCTACAAGCAAACCAAACATCAAACCAATGCGACCACTGAAATTACAGCTGGGTCATGTTATAGAGAGGTACGTTGAAATTGAAAGGTCAGCACAAATGGTCAAAATCCGACATTTTCTCACCTTTCTGCCCGTTCGCAGCTCAGAAAATTACAATGACCATGCTAATCTCGTTGTATAGCTGGACATAGACAAGAGCACCTAGAAAAAGACACACATTTCTCTTAAGAACTCGCCCAGGGCTGCTGAAAGCTGAAAAAGAACCTATCTAGAAGTTTGGGGCTTTTTACCCGTGAATCTTCACTTTGCGACTAAACTATTCACAGCAGTGCCAAATTTTCTGGGTCACTGAATGCGGGTGCCAGCGCCCTACAAGCAAACCAAAAATGAAACCAATGCGACCACTGAAATTACAGCTGGGTCATGTTATAGAGAGGTACGTTGAAATTGAAAGGTCAGCACAAATGGTCAAAATCCGACATTTTCTCACCTTTCTGCCCGTTCGCAGCTCAGAAAATGACAATGACCATCCTCATCTCGTTGTATAGCTGGACATAGACAAGAGCACCAAGAAAAAGACCCACATTTCTCTAAAGAACTCACCCAGGGCTGCTGAAAGCTGAAAAAGAACCTATCTAGAAGTTTGGGGCTTTTTACCCGTGAATATTCACTTTGCGACTAAACTATTCACAGCAGTGCCAAATTTTTAGGGTCACTGAATGCGGGTGCCAGCGCCCTACAAGCAAACCAAAAATGAAATCAATGCGACCACTGAAATTACAGCTGGGTCATGTTATAGAGAGGTACGTTGAAATTGAAAGGTCAGCACAAATGGTCAAAATCCGACATTTTCTCACCTTTCTGCCCGTTCGCAGCTCAGAAAATGAGCCAGGGACTACAGAAACCACCCTATGGCACTTTTGGAGAAAAAAAATTTTCTCTCAAAAAGTTGGTATGGTATGGTAATGTGCTCAAACAAAATTTCAAGTCGATCTGCGATGGTAAAATGTGCCTAACCACCTATTTAATAATGGCATATCAATTGAGCGATATAGAGCAAATTTATGTACACAGTATGTAATGTTCTTAAGCATGCATGTGTACCATTCGCCTGTAGGGAGTAGTTCGAGTTGCTGCTGATCGCTCTGCTCTCCCTCCCCGTGCAGTTCAGTAATCCTCACGTAGTATCACAGATACATCGTATTCTCTCTCTCCCCCCGTTTACTCGCAGTTATTAGTATCCTATTCTCTTACTATGTGCTTCCATAGCTTTTACTATCTTCTTCCATAGTTGTAGCACTTCCAGATCCACGACCCAGCAGCGCGTATGGGCATCAGTGCTCAATAGCTCCAGTGACAACGGAGCACTTCGGCCCTCCTCCAAGCCATCGGTCACTGCGCAGCCACCTCTCCCACAGGAGCACCGCCAGCAAACTAACCAGCACCAACGACCCCAACAGCGACAACAACAACAACAACAACAACAACAACAACAACAACAACAACAACAACAACAGCGCCAGAAGCAGCAGCAGCAACAACAGCACCACCAACACCACCAACACCAGCAACACGACGAACAATGGACTACAGTTACCAGCCGCAAACTGAGAGGTTCTCTTGGCTCCCTGCGGAAAGTATACTTTGTTGGCAATATTGATGACAGTTGCGACGCAGACTCCATAACGTCCCACTGTGTCCAGAATGGCATCACACCCACAGCTTGCCGCACCTTTCCTTCTCGCAAGCATGTAGGCACAAAAGCTGCAAGGCTTACAGTCCGTGAAGACCAATGTGCAGCCATCGAGGCAGATGGGTTTTGGCCAGCGCCCATTCAGGTTCGGCCATGGGACTTCAGCGAGGCAAATAGGCCCACAGCCACCAACTAATCGACCGTGTTCCCACTCAATCCCCATGCACCAGTCTTCTTACCTCGCATCTATCGTGCCCAACCCTGCTCAACAGCAGCCACGACCTTGTTCCCACTCAACCCCCATGCACCAGTCTTCATACCTTGCACCTATCGTGCCCAACCCCGCTCAACAGCAGCCACGACCGTGTTCCCACTCAATCCCCATGCACCAGTTTTCATGCCTCGCACCTATCGTGCCCAACCCCACTCAACGTTTGTAAGAGAACAACCTCCACCTGATACCACACCAGTAAACGCATCCCCCCACAACAATAACAATAATTCTTGCATTCGGATATGTACCCTGAACTGTCGTAGTATGAAACATAAACTGGCTGATATTACAGACCTCCTTGACCACCATAAAGTAGACATTTTGTGTATAACTGAAACGTGGCTAAATTCGTGTATCCCAGACGAGATCATTAAGATACCGGGTTACGACCTGTTCCGTCGTGACCGGTCCCAGTGCAGCACTACATGGAGCGACTTGGGTGGTGGTGGGGTAGCAGTCTTCTCTTCGTCCGCCCTTTGTGCTATGCGCCACCGGGATCTAGAGTGCAACAATTCAGAGATGATAACTGTCGAAACAGGAGCTACAATCATTTCCTGTATGTACCGTCCTCCAAGACACGATAGTCTTGCATTCTGCAACTCATTCAGTCCTCTTCACCCCCTCGTTGACAACCGTCCAGTAATTGTCGTGGGAGACTTTAACTCCAAGAACAATGAGTGGAACAACGCAGACCCTACGAACACTGCAGGTAGACACATCCAGTCCGCCTTTGACGACTATGGCTTCACTATGGTCTCCAAGAACCATGGAACGAGGCCAACTAAAGATTCTAATCCGTCCCTAGACCTGATTTTAACTAATATGCCCCATCTTGTCACTTCATGTTACACATCCATGCCCATTGCAGACCACTGTCCTCTATTTTGCGCATATTCTCCACCAGAGAAACGCCACTCTAGAAGTACTGTCAACGCAGCTGCAGTCTCCAGAAAGGTTGACATGCACCTCCTCAGGCAGAAACTGAGCACACTACCATTGACCGAATGCATGCAGGGCACCAACGTGCACATCAGTTTCAGATGCATGGCCTACTCTGCACTGTTGGACCAGGCAATTCAGGCAGCAACGACCATCACACGCCGGAAAAACACCCAGTCGAACCAACCATGGTTCACAAAAAAACTTAAGACGCAACGTCAGCGAACTAACCGCCTCTATGTGCTCCACCGAAAGGAGCCACTCAACGATTCCTTACGAGCTGCATACAAACTCTCGCACAACCTGTACCACCGGTCATTAAGAGCCGCCAAGGACACATACTTGTCAACGCTCGGATACACAATGCTTGGCAAGGAAAGAAAGGATGGCTATGCGTGGTGGAAACGTGCCAAAGCAATATGCAATATTGACCAAACAAATAAAAAGGCAATTCCAGACCTGCAGAACGGCAATGAAATTCACAAAAACAGATCAAGCGAAGGCCGAAACGCTGTGTACCTTCTTTGCCCGCCAATGCACCACTCAGTCCACGCCGCCGAATACTGTAGCAACTAGTATAACAATCAATGAAGCCGACGTCGATGGAAACAAATTTGGATTCGGAAACATACGCCCTGTTGAAGTCTCCGATGCAGCAAAGAGGCTGCAACAACATAAACCATCATCAGACATCAACCTGACAAACCGTATACTAAAGCAATTCGCAGATATCCTTTCCCAATCACTATCAGTATTGTTCAACTACAGCCTTGATGATGGTGTGTTCCCGTCCTCCTGGAAATCATCCACTGTAATACCGGTGTACAAGAATAGAGGTTGCGCCAAAGAGCCTACCAATTACAGACCTATATCCCTTCTCCCATGCATAGCGAAACTAATGGAAAAGATTCTCTCGGAACGTCTACTTCGATACTTGATGACCCAGGGTGTAATTTGTAAAGGTCAATTCGCATATGTACGCAACAAGTCTGTAACGGACCAACTTATCTTGCTAACCCAATCAATGGCTGTAAATATTGATAATGGCACTAATTTTGACCTGATATCTCTAGATTTCAGGAAAGCTTTCGACCGGGTCGACCACTCTATACTCCTAAAGAAATTCGGTAAGATTGCTACAGCTTCGTCAGTAAAATGGCTGAAGAGCTTCTTAGGGGATCGACAAATTGAAGTGAAGGTACATAGCACTAAATCGAAGAAGCTGAGCATCAACTGCGGAGTGCCTCAAGGTTCCCACCTTTCACCACTCCTATTCCTACTCTATATAAATGACCTGCCCAACGCTATGCAACATTGCACGCAATATCTATTTGCAGATGATGTCACCCTCCTACTGGCTTACAAACCTGAAGACACCCTCGCCAGTAGAGCGAACATGCAGTCTGATCTCGATGCATGTCAAACATGGGGCAGGAACAATGGAGGTGAATTCTCAGCAAGCAAGACATCCGTGCTGTGCCATAGAGCTATCAATGATACACCTACTGCAGGAATCCAATACCAAATGTACAATGAGCCATTAACGGTGGTTTCTGAACTGCAACATCTTGGCATCACCTTGACCGACAACCTGGATTTCCGCAAACATGTCGCCTCAATAACTTCGAAGTTCAGATATCGAGTGCACCTACTGTCAATTATGTCCCAGCAACTTACGCCTTCGGCAATGATCATACTGTACAAAGGATTCGTAAGACCTGTGATCGAATATAGCTGTACGGTGTGGTCGTTTGGATCTAATAAGAAACCCATGACCACTCTTGATCAATTACAGGCAAGGTTTGCTAGAGCTCTACTGAAAAGAAAAAAATTGCATTTGATTACACTTCTTCCAAATCTGTCTTAAATTCTAAATGCTCCCTAGAGTCACTAGCCTATCGTCGTCAAATCATCAGTCTCACTACTTTTCACAGATATGTTTTCCATCATCGTGATTACCTTGCTGATTTCCATTTCAAGATTACGAATAGTGAGCGACGACCAAATAAAATCATTCTTCCCTAATTTAAATCATTGTCTAAGTCTCTCTTCATGTTCCGAACTGCTATTCTATGGAACTGTTTACCCCCCAGTCTAACATCGGAAGCCTCGCTCTATAAGTTCAAAGCTGCCCTCAGGAAATTTACAGCTGACTATGCTTATGCAATCAACGGAATTCCGCCACCTTGCAGTTGATTTTCCCCATTTCTCTCCTCATCAATCCCTACTTCTCTTTGTACATACATCTACATCTACTGTTCTTTCAATCAAATGAACCCCTCGATAGGCACGTTGCCTTTGGGTCATTTCATAATAATAATAATAATAATAATAATAATAATAGCCACTTCTAGGCTAAGCCTTCACCGTCATTTTATTGGGTCGTCATCCCGTTTGAATGCGCGAAGTGAAATAAAAACCAACCAACCAACCAAGTTACCACAACATGTTCCAGATGTTGGTCATTTGATGCTACATGAGGCAGGTTGTCTCCGGTCAAACATCTCTAGCTTAAGATTTGTGTGTAGCTCTCCACCCCTAGGCCTGAAAGTTATCCAACGGGCCTTTTGTTTCCATCAATTATTTTTCCGAGGTGGGAGGGGGGGGGGGCAGACTCTTTTTCAAGAGCCTCTT